CTTCTTTTTTGTTCTTTTTCCTTTTCTGACAGATCTTTCCTACCGAGCATCACTCTTGTCATCAGAAGCAACATGGTTAGGAAAGGCTCCGGAGTTGAGGTATTCTTAGAGTTAGTCCCAAGTGTCCCTGTCCTGCTCTGCCCCAGGCCTAATCTCTGGTCAGTACTTGTCTGCCTCCCCAGATGTTCTCAAAGTTCCCCAACATTCCCGTCACCGCCTCGCGTCTCTGGCTCAGTGTCAGGGCCCTCTGCCCACCCAGCCCCAGCTGCTGGGGCCCCGGGACTCCCACAGACAGCTGCTCCTGAGGGTGTCCAGACCGCTGACCCCTCCCCTTCCAGCTGCCTCATCACTGGTGCTTTGGACAAATGACCCGCCCCGCCTCCTAGCCCAGTTTTGGGGCAGCCCAACCTTGCTCACTCCCAGGCCTTGGCATATCCCGTGCCCTCCAATCTGCGCACACCCCTCCCCACTTGGCCAGCTCCTGCTCACCCTCAGGATGCTCAGATGCCACCCTCAAAATGCTAGCCTCCCTGATTGCTCCAAACAGTCAGGTCCCCCAGGGCTCCTGGTGGCCTCACCCGGCATCCCCCCAGCTGCTGCAGAGACACATTTGGAAGTTCTTCCTGGCCCACAGGCTGCCCTCCCAGGAGAATCGCTCCCTGCTCCACCCCTCTCCCCACCCCAAAAGTGGTCCAGGGCAGTCCTGGCCTTGAGTGACCCCAACACAGGTGGCCATTCGCATTTATCTGAGCCATTGGGTGCTTTCTTCTTGTGCTTTGGACTTGGGGGCTGAAAGAATTTGCCCTCCTGGTGGCCAGAAAGAGACCTACAGACTGGGAAGGGGCTGTGGGCCAGGCAAGCTTGGCCAAGGGCAGGGAGGCCAGGGCAGGCCGCCGTACAGAGAGAGAGAACGTCACCAACAGAAGGGATTAGGGTGCAGCCACTTGTGTTGGAAGCTCAATCTCCCGGACAAGGGTCAAGAGGTGGAAAGTGGGCTGGGGATGTGGCTCAAGTGGTAGCGCACTCGCCTGGCATGCGCGGGGCGCTGGGTTCGATCCTCAGCACCACATACAAATAAAATAAAGATACTGTGTCCACAAAAAGCTAATAAAGGAAGGAAGGAAGGAAGGAAGGAAGGAAGGAAGGAAGGAAGGAAGGAAGGAAGAACATGTTTACCTTATTTAAAAAAAAAAAGGTGGAAAGTAAGGAGGTGACTAGACCAGGGGGCTCTGCCCTTGAGAATGGATTAATGTCACTACTGTGGATTAAGGTCACCCTCTTGCCTTCCACCATAGGACGGCACAGAAGGAGGCCCTTGCCACGGCCAGCACCTCAAAATTGGTCCTTCCAGCCTCCAGGACCATGAGAAATACATTTCTGTTTTTTTATAAGTTCCCCAGTCTGTGGTGTTCTGTTGTCATGGCCACAGACTAGGGCAGGGGTGGGAGGAGACGGAGGCGGGAGGGACAGGCAGCAGGGACAGGCAGGGAGAGGAGGCAACAACTGCTCATTTGTGTCCTGCCTCCGAGTTCTCAATGAGACGAGCTTGAGCTTGGGTTCTGCGACGCTTATGAGGATCTCGACCCCTGCAGGTCTGACGTCAGCAGCAACAGGTGCTGGGGGCAATGGAAGCTTGGACCCCAGGCGACACAGAGAACTGCGCGCTAGGGCAACCCAGCCGTAGTCACTCTTCCATTCATTCAAACATTGAATGAGAAACTACTAGGTGCCAACCCCGTGCTTGGGCAGGGGACCCTGCAGGATGACAAAGACACTCAGGTCCTGACAGGTGGAATGAGGGTCAGGAGAGTGGAACGGGGAAGGCACCGGAGCCCAGAGCAACAACAGACACTGGAGCTGGTCTGGAGCTGGGGGCCGCAGTGAAGAGGAGCCAGCCAAGCACGGATGGCAGAGGGGCTGGGACGGGACCAAGCACGGATGGCAGAGGGGTTGGGATGGGACGGACTCCCCTGCCCAGCCCCAGGCAAGCCAAGCTCTCTGCAGAACATTTGGAAAAATCCCGGGCAGACAGCGAGTCCTGGAGCACAGGGGAGGGGTCCAGAATCCCTGTGCAGAACACCAAGGGCCTGCAGGGTTCCCCACAGGCTCCCCGAGCCCCCGAGAGCAGTGTCCAGGGGAAGAGCTCAGGGTGGCTCAGTAGATGGCCACATGCAGGCCTTCCCAGCAGCCTTGTGGGCCAAGGGCCAGCACCACAGCTGCCATATTGCATGTCCCACCTGGGAGAGAGGAGGGAGCTCCCTGTCCCCAGGGGTGCGCGAGCGAGGGCCAGCGAGGGGCTGTCTGAAGGCGTGAAGAGGCACGGCAGCCTAAGTGAGCGGAGGGGGAGGCATCAAGCCCTCCATCTCAGAGGTTCCAGCTTCCTTCCTCTACCAGCCCGCCCACGTGCACACCCTGACTGACCCGCACCGAGCCCTGATCGCAGGGCAGACCAAATGTCAGAAATTTCCCCCAAAGATGGAGGGAGGGGTTTTTGTGGGGGTTTTGCGATTCCTCTGTGACTTACCCAGAAGCGCAGGGTCAATAAAACTCCAGCAAAATGCCCCGCCCACATCCAGGCACCGGTGCCCGGCCACCTCCAAGATGGCACCTGGGAGAGGGGAAGTGGTGGGAGGAGCCACTTCCTAAGCCACAGCTTCTAAGTGCAGGGCACCTGGGACCAGGATGTCACTCCCCCTGCACCTGCTCCCTGTCAAGGCTGGGATCCAGGGGACACGGGGGTGGGAAGGACTCTCTCTCCTGTGGCTGGGATGGTGGGGTCCCTGGGGGTTCACAGAGCACTGTGGGTCACACCGATCCCAGGGCCGGGGGCGAGGGTGAAATCCCCAACAAGAGGGGCTGGGGAGATGTGTGTGGAGCCACCCCCAGCACTGGGCTCTTGAGAAGGCCCCCCAAGGAAGGGGATGCTGGGATTGCAGCAGGTGTAGATGACAGGAGGGGACAGGCATGTCTTAAGGCCCAGAGGCTCCGAAACACCCAGCAGTTCCCAGAGAAAGAGCTGGAAGGGTGAGAAGTGGCCTCAGTATAAGACATTTGCTGGCTGGGCAGCTGGGTAGGTGGGCAGAGGGCAGGGGATGGGTGGGAGGATAATGGGTGGGACTGAATTGCATAGCACCCAGTTCATATATTGAAACCCTAACCTTCACTGTAACTGTATTTGGAGACAGGAGTTCAGGAGGTAATTGGGGTTAAATGAGGTCATTAAGGGCGGCGCCCTAATCACATAGGACTTGTGGCCTCATAGGAAGAGGGGGAAGAGAAGAGACAAAGACAGAGGCCTCCCCACTCTCAGAAGACAGCTGATCATAAGGCAGGAAGAGGGTCCTCATCAGAAACCGAGGCCTGGGGCTGGGGTTGTGGCTCAGTGCATGTGTGAGGCTCTGGGTGCAAGTCTCAGCACTATATATAAATAAATAAAATAAAAGGTCCATCAACTAAAAACAAAATATATTTAAAAAGAAAGAAAGAAACCAAGTCCTACTGGAATCTTGATCCTGGCCCTGCCAGCCTCCAGGGGAGAATGACTTGCTTAGGCCACCTGTCTGCAGCCTTCTGTGACGGCAGCCGGAGCAGACCAATACGGATGGGCAGGCAGACAGGGGGGCAGGGCAAGCTGGGGGACCTGTTCAGCACTGAGGTCTCCAGCACTGAACCCAGCACGAAGACCCTCGTGACATCATCCAAAATCAACACAAAACCATTAAATGTGGCAACAAAGTTCAACAAAGTCCCACTTTCCCTCCCATGATAACGAATTGGAGTTGTCTTTGGAAATAGAAAGTATCAAGTTTTCCCCCCAAATACTTGTCTCTGTCCTCTGGCGGCTGATGTGCCTGCTGGGTCCAGCTCTCACGGGAAAGTTAAGAGGCCACAGGTCTGGGAACGGCCTCACTAGGTTCTTGCCCAGCTAGGGCCACATCCCCTCTGCCTCCTACCTGTGTATCACAGCCTGTGGCCACCCTCCAGCAGCAGGGCTGGCAGGGGACAAGAGTGGGCAGATGAGCCCCACCTCCTCGTGCCCAGGAAGCCCTCCAGACAGCAGCTGCCCACTCCCAGGGTCCTGCCCTACTCAAAGCAAGTGGCAGTTCTAATGTACGAGTGACAAGTCACGTACAGGGACTTCCTCTCTGACAAAGTGTAGGTCTCTCCCGCCCAGTGGCAATCTCTGTTCTTGAGGTCAGAGACCACACTGCAACTTCATCACATGCCCAGCCATCTGAGGTCACTGCTTGCGCCTGGGGACTTTTGATAATAACCACAGGGGGACCAAGAGGCCCCGTGACCCTGTTCTATTTGCTCACCTCCTTGGCCTGAGCATCATTTGAAGAATGTCCCAGAAGGATTTCCTGATCATCTGCCACCGTTTTGGGGGTGAGTGAGCATTCCAGAAAGCCAGCTGTGGTCAAGCAAGCTCTGTTCCCCTAGAAATTTGTAGTCCAGGTCACCCTGGGACAAAATGTGTGCTCTGCACTGGAGCAGACACCAGAGAGGGCTTCCAGACCCCAGGAAGGAGGGACAGTGGAGAAATGGTGACAGTCCAGGTCCTGGGGTCATGAAGCCCCAGGCTCCAGCCCCAGATGGCTCCATCCTGCCCCAGCTCTGTGACCTGGGCACTTTACTGAAGCTTGCTGAGCCCCAACGGCCTCATCTGCAAATGGGACTGATAAGGGAAAATGGTGACCACTAAAGAAACAGCCCACGGGTCTCAGACTAGTGTACACAGGGCAAATGTCCAGTGAGGGGCAGCTGTGAATTAATAACAGATCCCCACACAGATGGACTTGCTTCTCTGCACCAGCAACACACCTAGCCTGATTCCACCAGTCTGACCCTGGCAAGAGAGGCCGGATTCTGTGACATTAGGGACAGTGCTCAGAAACCTGTAGCAATAATGACAATGATTGTCAGCTCCCCATTCTCTCAGCAGTCACAACCCTGAAGACAAAGATGCCCCTTCCCTGCCCCCCAGCACGGCCACTCACCTGGGGGGCAGCGGTAGCAGCACGCTCCGGCAGCCTCGTTGTAGTAGCGGTTGGGGTCTCCAGCACAGTCGGCCTTGAGGGGTCGATCCTGGAGGGTGAGAGAAGCTGGTGAGGCCAGGCAGGTCCCAGATGTCCAAGCTCCTTCCAGACCCGGGATGCCTGGAGTCCACCTGCTGCCAACCAGGCCTGAGACTCAGCTCTCGTTGCAGAAGAGAAACTGGACAGAATTTCTGTTGCACATCCCCACCAACCCCGCTGCTTCTGGGGGTGACGGCAACTCGCGACCAGGCCGAACACGGGGGCCTCCTGTTCTCCCCTCCTCTCCCACTCACAGACAACCCTCCAGCAAATTCTCTTGGCCCTCTTTGGACCATGACCCCACTCCCTCCCCTAAATTAGCATGGCCGCCTCACACCCGGTCTCTGGGTTGGGCCCAGCAATAAAAATTCCTAGTAAACTTATTGATTAAGGGCGGGGGGTGTAGTCCAGTGGTCAAGTGCTTGCCTAGCCCATGCAAGGCCTGGGTTCAATCCCCAGCAGCAAAAGAAGCGTCAATTGAAGTCTGACACAGCCCCAGAGAAGTGCACAGGCCCCAAGTCCAGAGCCCTCGGTCCTGAGACGGGTAAACACAAGGTGCACCCAGAGCAGCAGCCAGGACCTGGCCCCCCACCCCAGCACCCTCCTCATGCCCTTCTGGAAAGGAACCCATCAGCCTCACCTCTACACCAGAGATGGTTCAGTCTTGTCTGCTTTTGAGCTTGATCTAGGTGGAACCATACAGACTGTTTTCCTGTACCTGGCATCTTTAATTCGACATTTTTTGTTGTTTTGTTTCGTTTTGTTTGATGGTACTGGGGATTGAACCCAGGGGTGCTTTACCACTGAGGTACATCTCTAAGTTGCCCAGGCTGGCCTTGAACTTGCAATCCTTCCGTCTCAGCCTCCTGAGTTGTTGGGATTACAAGCATGGGCCACTGTGTCCGGCTTAATTTGACATTATACTGTAAGAATCACTCCCATTGCCGTGGTTGTGTAGGACCACAAAGCAGGAATGAGCACAATTTATCTGTTCTACTTTGGAAGGACATTGGGTCCTTTCCACATTTTGATGATAATGATGCTTCTGAGGACATTCTTGTACATACATTTTGGTGCCCAAATCTATGCATGCTGTTGTGCATGTACCTGGGAGTGGGCTGGCTGAGTCATGAAGTGTGCATGTGCTCAGCTCTGAGAGTCTTTAAACTACTGCTCCCGGGGGTGTCTGTCTATACCCCGGGAGCGCTTGGTGTTGTTGGTTTTTAAAACTCTACTCAATTTGGTGTCTGTGCAGTGATCTCCTTGTATTTTAAATCTGCATTTCTCTGACGAGTACCGTCGTTGTATTCCTTTTCCTGTGTTTATTAGCTATTTTATTTTTTCAGAGTTGGGGAGACAACCCAAGGCTTTGCCCATACTGGGCAAATGCTCCATCTCTGAGCTACACCACTGGGCAAATGCTCCATCTCTGAGCTACACCCCCAGCCCACGTTAACCATTTAGACATATGGTTAAAACCATTGTGTAAACATCGGACGCCTCAAAAACGAGCTGGGCCCTGGGTGACAGCCCTTTTCCACAATTCTGGGTAGACTGTGTAAGTCCGCGGCTTGCCAACAGGGGGTGCTGTCCTCTGGCATTCCAGAGAGGCCGGACTCTCAGCCACGATGTCCCGCACCTGCTCCTCAGAGCCCCATGAAGGAGGGAGGGGAGGACCGGGAGCCCCATTTTCCATGTGGGGGTGATGGAGGAAGGGACCAGCCCCAGGTCCCCGCAGCCATTCCCAGAGACATTGGTGGGGCCAGGTCGGGGCACAGCTCTACCAGGCCCCAGATGCCCCAGGCCCCAGAGAGCAGCTTCTCCAGCAGAGACACGGGGGGGGGGGGGGGGATCTTTTGTGCCTGTGATGTCATTTACAACAGCCATGAAAATGGGGACAAGCCAAGGGACACTTAGCGTCTAGAAGTGATGCATGTAGCAGTGGCAGAAGCCAGGCGCGGTCCATGAGGCCTGTTACCATGGAAACCAGCTCCCGCGGCTGCCCAAGATCACCCTGCGTGCCAGCCTGTGCTCAACTGGCTCTAGACACGGCCCAAGGGCATCGAGCCCCTGTTCTGGGCCAGGGGCAAATGGAAACCCGAACTTCCCTTGGGGACCTGTCACCCCCAGAAGGGACAAGCCACCTTCCCCGGATATCCCAGCACATAAACTAGAGAGAAATGGCCCCAGGGACCCTGAGCTTCCCCCTGGCACACCGCCTGGGCCCAAAGCTGGCCCGGCCTCATGTCAAGCACAGGTTGCTTCCACCCGGCCCTGTGCCTGCCCTCCCCCACTGTGTCCCCCGCTGTCCAGGCACAAGCACCGTCCTCAGCCACCCCGTCCCAGCAGAGCGGCAGCGACAGCCTTGGCGTCTGCAGCGTCTGGGGAAATTTGAAGCCGGACCGCCGTTCCCCGGGGCTGTGCGCCCAGATGCTGAGGGGCCCATCCACTGCTTCTGCCCCTGGGGAAAGGGGTGACCGGCTGGGACTTTGCACTGGCTCCTGCCTGGGAGGGGGGTCAGGAAGGGAAGAGTGGGAGGGGGAAGCCCGAGGACTGGCGGGGGGCTTTTGGGTGGGGTTCCCCGGCAGGTTGGAGGCCAGGCAAGGTGTCCACAGGGTGCTGAGCTGTGCAAGGGGAGGCCATGGTCCAACCCGAGCGGCACCGAGAGGGATCGGCCTGAACCCTCACGGGGCCTATTTTCAGGTTGGTTTGGTTTTCCCTGTTAGACCTGGTAAATTTCACTTTCAACAAGCCCCACCTGGTCCCAGCCAAGAGGAAAAGGGACCGGGCCACACCTGTGGGAGCCCAGAGTCTGAGGCCGAGGTGGGGTCGAATGCAAAATCCCCAGAGGGGCCAGAGTGGAGGTGGCAAGTCCCCACACCTGATCACCCAAGGTGGGGAGCTGGGACCAGCAGCCACCAACCGCATCACCTGGGAACTTGCTCCGAAAGCAGAATTCCAAACCTCGAGCCAGGTGTGGCCAGTTGAATGGGGACCTGAATTTTAACAAGATCCCGAGGGGCGTCAAAGGTACTTTAAAGTTTGAGGAGCGCTGGAAAGAAAGCAAGAGATGCCGCATGGATTGCTTCTGGCAAGAGAAGTTCTGGGGACTGAACCCAGGGGCGCTTAGCCACTGAGCCCCAGCCCCAGCCTTTTTTGTTTTTTTATTTTGAGACAGGGTCTCACTAAGTTGCTGAGGCTGGCTTTGAACTTGCCCTCCTGCCTCAGCCTCCCAAGCTGCTGGGATGACAGGCGGGCACCACCGCACTGGTCCAGGAAAAGTAATTCTAACAGCCAGCAACTATCAGCCCACTTCACAGCTGGGGAAAGGAAAACACAGGCAGGTTAAGAGACCTGACTTTAAGTCACCCACATGCCACAGCCCAGCCAGGGTTTGGACCCATCTTGCACACACCTTATCCACCAGACTCTGCTGCCAAGCGTGGAGCCCACCCCAGGCCCCAGAGGTGGACTCTCTGAAATTCCTCCTCTCCCGGCCTCCCCTGGTCACTGGCTGTGTCTGTTTAACTGAGGTTTGACGTCCACCAGCTCGTCCTCACCTCCCTCTTGACCTGACCCCCTGTGGCCACCTGAGGGTCTGCTCCCACCCTCACTGTCCCTGCACCCCACTCTCGGAGAAGATGCCAGAGGAGTGTTTTGAACACATGAATCTGATCTTCCCTCTGCCCGGGAAGACACGCAGACCATTCCAGCCCAGCTGTGAATAAAGTCCTGACCTTGTCCAAGAGGCCCTGCCCCAGCTGCCCTGCTCTCTGCCCGCTGGGCACCCCCGGCACCCTCTCCCTCTCCCCATTCCCCCCTGGCACCCCACGTGCTCCCTCCAGGGTCCAGCACACACTGATCCCCTGGCCACCCCAAGCCCCTCATCTGGGGCACCCCAGCTCACTCGTGTGCCACCTCCTCAGAAAAGCCCTCCCTGGTCACCCCACCCAGCTGAGGCCTCAGCAGGCTAAAGGCAAGGCGTCAGCAGGCCACGTCCTTCCTCGTCCACCCCAGTGTGGGCAGTGCCCCGGGCTACAGGCCTGGGTCCCGCTGCCCCGCTGGCCGCCTGCTGACGCTGCTGCAGGTTCTGGAGACCGCCTTGGCCCCGCCGTGGTGTGGGGGCTCTGTCCCCAAGACGGTTCACATGTTGTCACCTTGGTACCCAGTGTGGTGTCGTTGGGATGTTGGGAGAGTTTTGAGGGTGAGGCTTGGAGAAGGTGATTAGGGTGTCGAGGGGTTGGCACTTCCCTCGTGGGGGCACATTCTGGTGGCCCCACCAGAGCAAGACGATTTTGAAAAGAACAAGCCCTGTTTGTGAGGTCACTGGCTTCCTCCCTGGCGCGGGTCCTTCTCCTGCAGGTGGCTGTCTCCCCTTCCACCTCTCCGCCATGTTACAACACAGCGGGGAGGGAGGGGGGCCCTCCCCAGGGAACTGCACCGTGTTGTTTGGACATTCCAGGCACCACAGTCATGAGCCAAATACACCTCTTTACTCAGCCTCGGGTACTTTGTCATAGCAACGCATCGCAGTCTGATACAGCCCCTTTCTCCATCTGCAAAGCCAACAATGGCGGCTGTGCCCTCTCACCTCACTTCTCTCTTCTCCCACATCATCTCTCTAACACAGCCAGGAAGGACTCTACTTTTAAGGACTTGTGCAATTAGATGGAGGTCACCCTGACAATCCATGACGGTCTCTCCATCTCAGGATGGTTGCTCATCACTCTCCACGAAGATCTTTTTGCCATGTTAAGGTGACAGCCTCAGGGCTCCAGGGATTGGCAGGTGGGTGTTTAGAGGACAGTTATTCTGCCAAGCACCAGGCTGATAAGTAGCCATCAGACTGCACCACAGCTTGCTGGGCTTGGTCACCTGATCCTAGGAGGCACTGAACCCCTCTCTCCGCCCCCCAGCACTTACCTGAACACCTCACCAAGAGACCCCTGAACTGCACCATCCTGCCCCACCTGGAACACACCTCGGGGACAGACATCTGCTCCTGGGTGC